CTTTCTTTCTTTCTTTCTTTCTTTCTTTCTTTCTTTCTTTCTTTCTTTCTTTCTTTCCTTTCTTTCTTTCTTGGTATTCTGTAAGGAATCTATTCATTTCTTCAAATTTTTTGTTTGTCTTTTCCTCAATTATTTTTATTTCTTCTCTTTTTTCTCTTTCTTTCTTTCTTTCTTTCTTTCTTTCTTTCTTTCTTTCTTTCTTTCTTTCTTTCTTTTTCAAGACAGAGTTTCAGAGTTTCTCTGTGTAACAGAACCCTAGCTATCTTGGAACTCTCTTTGTAGACCATGAAGTCCTCAAATTCACATAGATTCAACTGCCTCTGCCTCAGGTGTGCTGGTACTAAAGGCATGTTCTACCATGCCTGGCTTTCCTGAGTTTCCTTAAAGGATTGTTTAATTTCCCTTTTAAGGACCTCTATTATTTTCATAAAGTTAGTTTTAATGTTGTCTTGTTTTTCAGCTGCTTAGACATATTCAGGTCTTGCTATCATAGGATAGCTATGCTCTGGTGGTACCATATCGTCCTAGCTGTTGTTGATTATGTTCTTTAACTGGCATTTAGGCATCTGAGTTTGGGATGATTATAGGTCTGGGTGCTGATTTATGAGTTTGTCTTTGTTGCATGGATGTTTTATTCCTCAGTTTCTGTTTTCCATTTGGACTTCTGGTCTTTATGGTCTAAATTTCTGGAAGCTAGCATGTCCTCTGATCTAGTAGAGAGTCTCTGTCCAAGCTGAGGGCTGGACTTCTGGGGGATAGCTTGGCCTTTGATGCAGAAGGGGTCTCTGGCCATGTTGAGGGGTGAGATATGGTGATGAGAATGGAAGTGGGGATTGGGGACAATGAGTGAAGGGACAAAGTCTAATTGTATAATCTATTTGGTTAAACTGACTACCTGCTTGTTCTGGGATTACAAGTGCACATTGCACACCTGTATCTACCTGCTCCTTCTGGAATTATAGGTACATACTGCACATATGGGTTTTCATTTGGATTCTGAGGACCTGAACTCAAGTTGGTATTCTTGCATAGCAAGTGCCTTACCCACTGAATCCAAGGCCTGGGGATGTCTTTCCTGGAAAGTACTACTGTGGGTTAGACTTCTGGCTTCCTGGTCTGCACTAAGTATCTCCTGATGATACTTGGACCCTGGGTGGAAATTGATTTCAGGCAGTTGCTCCAGATAGTCTACTCCGCTGTGAAGCCCTCCCTCATTTTTACAAATGCTGTTGGCTTGGGTAGAAGGTTCAGAGAAATTGAGCCCTATTATGCAAAAGCTGCTGTTCAATGGCTTTGGAAGGATACCTCTGCAGGGGATGTGATGTGTGGCACTTTGGGATGGCATTAGCAGAGGGGCACTTATTTCTGGGGAGATTAGTTTTCAGAGTCTAAAGGAGATGTGTAGTGCAAATGGAGGTATGACATGTTTGGATGTAGAGTTTGTTATCCAAGCACAAAATGTCTTTCACAAAAGAACACTTTTCCACTGTTCAAACATTAGTCCAGCCTTTTCTTCTCCACTCCTCTACAGAAACAGACAATATGTGGAGCTGAGCACATAAATTCATTCTTTAGTTCATCATAACTTCCTAATTTGAAACTTGTTTTGTTGGTTTGGATGTACAAGGGTCCTTACAAATAGTAATCTGCTTACTGCTTTCTCTATTTTGGTCAAAACTGGTTCTTTTTGTTGTTGTATCATGTAGCCCAGGCTGGCCCCAAACTCAATAAGTAGTCCCAGGTGAAGGTGAACTCCTGAGCCTTCTGCCTCTGCCTCCTGAGAACAGAGATGACAGGTGGACAGCACCAGGCCTAGCTTGTGTGGGGCTCGGAATTTACTAGGCTGTTGTGTATGCTAGGCCAGCCCTCGGCAAAGTGCACTACATCCCCAACTAACACACTCTTAGAGTCCCATGTTCGGCTCTTCTTGCGTTTCTTCCCCATGCAATGGCAAATATCCTTACTAAGTTAGAAATGTAGCCAACATCACTTTAGTGTTGGTCTCTGTCCCTGTCTTCTGTCCTCGGCATTTACTGCCTTTCTAGCTCCTTCCATATCTCTGCTGTTGCCCAGTTATTTCATTTTGCTAATTCTCCAAGGTTTTACAATCGATTCTCTGCAGACAATGACAGTCACAGCACACTCCTCCCTCTCCTTGCCCATCTCACTTTCATGAAAGCATCATTTGCTTAGAAAACCTTTTCATCACTCTCTTTTTTTTTTTTTCATGCCATTCTTCCTTGGGAGCCAGGATTAATTTCCCTTTTGTCACATTCCTCTTTGTAACAGTATTTTCCTATGTGTATTGCTTTCAATGCTATTCCAGAGTTTGTCACATGGTTGACTCACCATACAGCTTTTCTCGGGGTCTTAATGGAATTATTTTTATGTTTTTTGTTTCCCTAAAAGTGTTGATTCTTTCTCCTCCCTCTCCCTGGAATTTCAGACTGCCTTTACAGATAGATAGCACTGGGATCTTAGGACATGAACAGCAAGGAGTCTTGTGAGTCTGTCTGAGCAAAGATAACATATTTTTCCCTTTAAAATCATGAAGCTGAATGTGGAAAGATCCTGAAATTAAGGTCAGCGCTGTGTAGTTGTTTATACTGACTGTCAGATTGTGGAATAAAAAATGTCTTTTATATGTTTGCTTTTTTATTGTTTTTCAGGGCAATGTCACTTTTTCCTGCTCAGAACCACAGATAGTCCCCATCACATTTGTCAACTCCAGAGGCAGTTATTTGCTGCTGCCCGGCACCCCCCAGATTGATGGACTGTCAGTGAGTTTCCAGTTTCGAACATGGAACAGGGATGGTCTGCTTCTGTCCACAGAGCTCTCTGAAGGCTCAGGGACCCTGATGCTCATGCTGGAGGGTGGGACTCTGAGGCTCCTGATTAAGAAAGAGGCAGGACATGGAACTGAAATCCTTACAGGTACAGTCATTGCAGACTTCCATTTAATCCCCCTACCCTCCTTTCCCTTCCTTATCTGTCTTACTTTCTTCCTCTTTTCCTCCTTCTCTCCTACCCCCCCTTTCCTTTCCTGCTTCACCTTCCACCTCTCTCCCTCACTTTTCTTTACTTTATAATGGTATTTCTTCAACCTAAGTCAACCAAGGTTGAGTTTCTGCCTAAAACACACCAGTTCATACTTAGGGATGAAGGGTGGTCTATGGTGGCAAGTTGACTATAAATATGAAGAAGCTTGCTCTGCCTCTCATGCATTAATTAGACAAACAGAAGCAGTCTTAATTAACCATGTGTACTTACACAAATCTCTCAGTTGTTTCGCTGTAGGATTATCATGAAAGTGGCTGTGAGATTTTCTATCCAGGAGTATTTAGCACCCTCTATACAATCTATGGAGTGGTCTGCTTAGTTCTGTGTAGAGATCTCTCACATTGAGTATTGTCTTTACCATAGTCACTCCAGGAAAAGGCTATTTTTCAAACTTTACACATTAGCAAATGGCAGGTTACAAAAATGTCTCCAGAATCACATGTTTCAAAATGATAGAGCTGACAATTTGTTTAGAATTTGTCTGGCTTCCATGTCATATTTCTATAAGATCTTGGGGATTTTTCTTTATAGTCCCTATGTTCTATTTCATATTAATTAGTGAGCTTTAACAATTGTATTTCTTAAATGCATTTTAAAGTTATTAAGTATATATACTGTTATGTGTGGCCTCAAGAAATGATGAAACTTTTCTAAATGGTCATAAATTGGCTGAAATCTGGGAAACACAGCCTTCTCTCTCTCTCTTTCTGTCTCTGTCTCTGTCTCTGTCTCTGTCTCTCTCTCTCTCTCTCTCTCTCTCTCTCTCTCTCTCTCTCTGTGTGTGTGTGTGTGTGTGTGTGTGTGTGTGTGTGT